CTGTCTGCTGACAGTCATCAACTCTTCTCTCTAGTTATCCTTGACCAGATGTACCCTGTAGAAACTCATAAGCATGACTAAGCATTTAACAGTCTAACTAGACATCCTATCTCCACTAAACATTTCTTATACATAAAGTATCTATCCAATATCTATCTGGCTAAAAATACCTAACAGTTCCTAAAATGGTTCCTGGACCTGTGGTAGAATCTCGTATCAATACTGCAAATACTGTATATAGAGTACTCTCTGGTACAATAACCACACATCAGACTGGCTGCTAGTATAATGCTGCTATTTATACATGTAATTTATGGTGAAACAACTGACACAATATAACTTTTGCCCCTGTTGTCCACCCCTAGCTCTACTGCTCTAAATGAATGATGTTAAACTACACGCACATGTATACAGACAGGACCTGTGGATCAATATTGAATATTTAACTTTTAATTTCAATGAATCATGTTAGTCGCCAAATCTTTAACCAGATTAGTACTGTGTACTGTTGTACTGCTGCTGTGCTGTGCTCGTGTAGTGTTTGTGTGCACTGTTGTGTATGACTGTGTTTGGCTGTGGGTATAATTTATTTTCAGAGATTGTCCACGAGGATATGAAGATGAGTTCAGATGGTGAAAGTGATCTGGCTTCATCTTCAGACGATGTTCAGAGTCCAGTTAGAGTCCGACTGAGGAACAAGAAGATCTCCACTGAGGTGCACACACATGCCCAAACACATGTACAGTACATACAGTAACACACACACTTTGAAACACAGAGACCTGATGTTTCAGGTGTTTCAGTCTGTGTGGTGAGTAGACGTAACATTGATATTTTGAGGTCTTTCTGGCGTCTCTGAGCAGCAGCTCGGTTGAGAAAGTTTGACTGAGTGAGGCAAAAAACCACATGTGATTTCAACAGACCTCAAGGTGAGAACACTAACCTCCATCACTCCCCACTTCCATCCACCAGTCCCCACCTCCACCAGACCCCACTTCCACCACTCCCCACTTCCATCCACCAGACCCCACCTCTACCAGACCCCACCTCCAGCACTCCCCACTTCCATCCACCAGACCCCACCTCTACCAGACCCCACTTCCATCCACCAGACCCCACGTCCACCATTCCCCACCTCCACCAGACCCCTCCTCTCGGTCCGAAATGAAGAAGCTTTTCAGATGCATCTTCAAGAAACTCAACCTGCGGATGTTTTTCTACTTGCCCTCGCCTTTGCTTACTTTCTTCGCTGATATTCTTGTTTTTTTCTGCTAAAATTTATGGACAGTGATTATTGGATACTTGGAAATTAATGGGATCTTAATTTTTTTCAGTGACACGGAAGGCGATGACTAGGGTTACCATTCACATTTGAACTGATACTGGTACCTGGAATTTGGTACCCAGTTGTGCATTTTTCTGAGCCATACTCTCTCTTGCTCCCATCTCAATTTCAATATTTAGTTATTTATTTATAACACTTTACAAACCACACTTGTAAAGTAAAACCCCTCTCTACCTCCCTCTCCCCTCCCAAAACCACCCGTCCAGCATGTCACAGTTTGTCCCTGATGCCAGAGCTGCCTTAGTTAATATCTGCCATTGTCTCAGACTACATCACTGAAATTGTCTGTGATGTAATCATCCCGTAAATAGTACTGTTGCTTCATACTAAAGTTTCAGACCTACATCTGATTTCTTTACTAAGTATCTGCCAGTACCGATTCTCATCCAGTACTTATATTTACCTACAGTAAATATTTATTAAATATCTGACATATTGAAACTGAAATTAATCTGGCACACTGTGTTCTTCAGGAGATCCCCCAATTACTGGATTGATATAAAAATAAATGATATATTATTGATATGAATAAAAGATGTTCTCAAACTTAATGACTAGTTGGTTAATTCAGATGAAATGAAACAGGATATGGTCACTGATCACCTGTCTGTTTTCTCTCTCTCTCTCACTATTGCCTTTCAGGACATTAATAAGCGTCTCTCGTTACCTGCCGACATTCGTCTTCCAGATGATTATCTGGAGAAGTGTAATGTGATTGGTCCAGCTCTGTTTGAGCAACCAATCAGCAGGAGACTGCGCAGAGTTTCCCTGGTACATCTACCTGCTTCTACTCAGTGTCTGTTGTATATCTGTTATACAGTTTGGTGATTTTTGTTGTATGTGTGTCTCACTACAGATTGTATTAATCGGCTGTTCTGTCTGTCTGCCTCTGTCTTTGTCTTTCTGTGTTTGCAGTCAGAGATTGGTTTTGGAAAACTGGAGACGTACATCAAACTGGACAAACTGGGAGAGGTGAGGACACCGCTGACTTTATCTGATGGACAATACATTTTGATACAGTAACAAATGCAGCTGAACATATGAGAAACACAAACTTCCACAGTGACCGTTGGTTCTTCTCAGCGAGGTCTGTTGGTGCCAATAACACCTGAGCTCTAACCCATGAACTTTTTTATCAGTAAGCAGGAGGTGAGACTGGTTTGTCCAGTTCACCACCACTGGCAATCGCGAGTGTCAGCAAATTGCCGGAATTGTGCGTGGTGAGGTCACACATAAAGTGACGTTATATGCTGATGACCTATTGCTTTACATCTCCGACCCTCAAACTTCCTTGCCCTCAGCTTTAACTCTGCTCAAGGACTTTGACAATTCTCGGGCTATAAACTTAATTTATATAAAAGTGAACTTTTCCCAGTCAACATGGTAGATGAGCAGTCACAATACGCTAACACACCTTTGAAGATAGTTAAAAACAAATTCACATATCTTGGTGTTTGCATCACCCGCCAATATAAACAGCTTTTAAAATATAATTTTGGTGTGCTCTTAGAGCGAACCAAGAAAGATCTTTTAAAGTGGTCACCTTTAAGATTATTACTTATTGGGCAAATTAATTCTATTAAGATGACAGTTCTCCCAAAATTTCTTTACCTTTCTCAGAGTTTACCTCTCTTCATTCCTTTGTCCTTTTTCAAATCCTTAGATTCTATCATTTCTACTTTTATCTGAAATGGCAAACGTCCTAGGTTGAGGAAAGTGCACCTTCAAAAGCCCAGGTGCGATGGTGGGATGTCTTTGCCCAATTTTAAATTTTACGATTGGGCAGCAAATATACGTAATACACTGTACTGGTGGCATTATCATTCGCAACCCTGTAAACCACCCTGGGTAGATATGGAGGTGCATGCTCATAATAAAATTTCTCTTTCGGCTCTTCTTGCATCTAGGCAGGACCTGGTCTCATGCTCTATTGCAAGTTGCCCAGTGGTGAAACATTCACTGCGGATCTGGACTCAATTTAGGAGATCGTTTGGGGGTCCGTCTCCCCTAAGCCCTATTTCTCACAATCACCTTTTTCTGCCTGCAATGCAGGACAACACTTTCAGGAACTGGTCTGATAAGGGGATAGCATGTTTTAAGGATCTATTTATAGACAACGTATTTGCATCCTTTGACCAGCTAACGTCACACTACGGGCTGGTTAAGTCAGATTTTTTTTAGAGTCTTGCAAATAAGAGACTACGTTAGATCTCTTCTGACTGACTTTCCTGTTTTACCCTCTGGGAATCCCTTGGACCTCTTCCTTTCCTGCAATGTGTTAATTAAAGGTTCAGTTTCAAAGCTGTATAACCTACTTCTGAATCAGTCACCCTCCCTTACACATAACATTAAGAGGGCCTGGGAGGTGGACCTTGGTGGTTCGATTTCACTCCCTCATTCAATTTAAAGTAGTGCACAGGGCCTATATTTCTAAGACTAAGCTAGCTCAAATGTTTCCAGGCACTAGTTGTTTGTGTAATAGATGTCAAGGAGCTGAAGGCACTTTACTTCACATGCTCTGGACTTGCCCTGATTTAGTACATTTCTGGTGGTCAATATTTGACTCACTATCTACGGTTCTTCAGCATAGATTAGAACCAGTCCCACAGGTGGCACTGTTTGGGGTTGCCCCAGAGGAACTGCAGCTGCCTCTATCAAAGTGTAAAATTATAGCCTTTTCCTTATTGCTGGCACATAGAGCTATCCTGTTAAAATGGAAGGAACCTCATCCCACCACACATGCTCAATGGATCAGAGAGACTATGTCCTGCCTTTATTTAGAAAAAATTAGGTTTTCATTAAGAGGGTCAGAGAAACAATTCTTTAAGGTGTGGCAGCCATTTCTTGATTTTGTAAACAGCCTTAGATAACTTGTATATGTTTTCATGGTATTGATGATGCATACTGTGGTATATGTTATCTAAAACTATGCTTGTATTTATGTGAGCTTCTCTATTTCTAAGACCTACATGTGCGTTTGTGTATTTGTTCATTGCTGTTTAATGTGAGCGCTACGCGGTTAGTTAATTGGATTGGTAGGGGTCAGGGGTTTGTCTTGTTGCTGTTCTGGCTTGAAAATCTGAAAATCAATAAAAATATAACACCAAAAAGGAAAGAAGAGGAAACAACAATAAAAAGAAAAACCAAATACAAGAAAACAACCATAAACTACTATCCCTTTAAAAGGCAGGCATACCAGTGTTTCCAGAGAGTTGAAGTAAATCGCATGTCACTGTATGCAACATTAGTCAACAATAAAATGATATTATTTTCAGAACATTTCAAGCGACAGATAAATTTATACAAGTTTCTTAAGGCAGCAGAAAATGTACTGATTCGTGATGACACAAACAATTTACTAGCATTCGTCCATCTAGGCCTTTTCAATAATAGCCTTAGGGTGTCATTATAAGCCACTGACAATTTCTGAAGACTGCCCTTTTTATAATTAGACCACGGATGGGCAGTGTACAAGGAAGTACAGTAAGCTTTAAACAAAGCCAATTTTACTCCAGCCGAACATGAACCAAATTCCCGTGCCAGTACATTAGCTTGTACATACAACATACGGTACTGCTGAAGAATATTAGGGAGTGCAATAGGTCTATAATTATCTGAGCTGCCCACCTTCCCTGCTTTATCCTTCACCACAGGAACTAAAAGTACTGACATCAAAGAGTCAGGCATAAACCCGTGCATAACAGAGGCAGTAAAGCATATGGCTAAAAGAGGGGACAACTTGAAACTAGCATACTTAAGATGTTCAGCAGAAATGTGGTCAACAAAGGATTCAACAAAATCAACCCCACTTACCGAGAAGGTTTCACTAGGGATAAGTTAAATAACTCACAATAGTGATGCCGCCAAAACTCAACTACCTTGTCAGGATCAGAAATTCCATCAATAGTATGGGGTAAGGAGGATCTATCGTTATTAATATATTTGACATCTTTCCAAAATGATTTCATATTGTTCCTTAGGAGTTTTTTCGCCATAAAGTCGGACCTCAACTAATGTTCATTTTTTGTGATGAATCATATAACATATTTATAATTTGCACTTGCATGCTTTTTAAACTCAAATATAGGCCCATATCTGGGTTTACCGGCAAGAGCCCAGGAAGTTGTAGCCTCCTGGGCTTTAGCCTTAAATTCGGCCACATAGGTGCTTCATCCAGGCATAAATTTGCACTTCACTTTAGTTTTGTGATAAGGCATACTTGCTTCCAACAGCACCCAGATAATATTAGAATACATAAAAGAAATATCTGCCTTGTGATTAACATCTGTGCAATTAGGATCTCTCTAATGGCCTCTCTAGATAACGTAATATCATGTAACAGCTTATCGGTGAGATTACGAAAGCAGGCAAGCTCCACAGGAGAAAGAGTGGACCAGTCCAAACCTTCATACTTATGGTTAGACTGAGTTAAAATGGGTATAGAATCAAGTCTCACGGTCATCTTTACAGGAATATGATCAGAAAAGGACATGTTGTATAGTATGTCTATATCTGCCAAAGTGGCATGTGCATCAGCTGTAGAAATGCAGTGGTCGAGCCATGATGTTGTATGCCAGGCCTCACTAATATATGTAAAGCTCTGACTAGGCAGGAACTTCGTACTACACAAAATCAAATTATTATCGGCACAAAAGTGCAGCATATGCTTTGCAAAAACAGAATTCTTATCTAATATATTTGCATTCAAATCATCCACAATATATATGCTTGTAAACTCGTCGCTGTGTATAAAAGAACTAATAAAAGCAAGCTTATTCAAATACTCCTCTTCATTTTGGTTGCATTCATAAGAGACACACACATTTAAAAACACAAGTTCCTTATTGCCCAATGTCAGGTATATTGCAATACACCAGTCCACATCAAGCCTAACCACACTAATCACTGAGTCCAACCTCTTAGACCACAAGATAGCCACGCCACCAGGAATTTGTCCACGTAGTAGACTCTCCAGCACCGAGGAAATTATCATCCAAGGAGTTGAGTACACATAAATCCTGCTTGGCAAGAAAGGTCTTTTGTAAACATAGAATGTCACATTGTTCCAGCAGCCCTTCAACGACAGTGCGGTGAGCTTAATCTGAAAGTTCACTGACCTGGAGCTGAGTAAGAGACTGACAGCATCTTTCATCTTTCTCTCTACCTGTTGTCTTTTTTCCACCTGCTTCTCACATGTCTCCCCCTCACTTCTCTGTTTGAAGGGGACCTATGCTACAGTGTATAAAGGTCGCAGTAAACTGACTGAAAACCTTGTGGCCCTGAAGGAAATTCGACTGGAACATGAAGAAGGAGCTCCGTGTACTGCCATCAGAGAAGGTACTAGAGTACTATTACAACTGTTTTAATGCTGCACTGCAGCATAAAAAAATCTGTTAGCCCATTTTCCCTCACTTGTAACTCTGTAAAACACAGTGTAACACTGTCAAACCTTAACAAGACTTTCCTGGGATGAAACAGACTTGACATGGAGCAAGATGCCATCGTTAACTAGCAATCCTGTCACAAAAAACAACTTTAAACAACGTAGAGACACACCCGAAACAGTTACTTCCTTTACAGTCAGTGCAGCTTTTACTCACGCTCTCAGGTATGTGAACCATGTAGCCATCTGGGCGTGTCTCCACAGGCTCTCTATCTTGCACGCACACACACACACACACACACACACTCACATACATGCTGTTTGTACCATAAATACAGCAGGGGATGCTCTTACAGAAGTAAATGTCAATAAAATAATTTGTGGAATTCAGTCACTCATTATCTGTTACATATGCAGGGATTAGTTGATAAAGGGGTGCAGTTTGGATTGCAAAATGTCGACTGTGTTATAAAAAGTTGTTATAAACAGATTATTTTAAGTTATAAATATGATTGATGATAGATTTTGTGAATTGCTAAAACACTAAACCTCATTCTTAGAACAAAACTGTTAACTGCTAAAACTCACTCTTTTTGTAAACCCATAAATAGTGTCCACCTGGTGAGAGACAGTTTTTAGATCTGATTCAACCTTTTTAGATTCTCACTCACCAAAGCACGCTGCACTGTGATGCACTTGTGATGCATAATGGCAACCACAAGTGGCAGAGGTCACGTACACTTAACAGCACAGCTGTCGTAGCTTCTACACCATAACTCAAAATTGTTAACACTTGTTACTAATGATGTGATGGAACCAAAACAATTGAACTCAGAGTGCACAGGCAGCATGAGTGAGTTGAAGATTAATACCAAGAATGGACTGAAATAATCTGAGAGGCAGATCAGGAAGAGTGTGCGTACATGGAGGAAGAGGAGGAAGACAAAGTCAGGGAGGACGATGCCTGGATGGAATCCTGTCTGTCCAATCCTGTCATTTACATTTTCTCTTTGCCCTTTGGCCTTTTGCAGTACTGTATTTTTACATGTGCTGAATCCATCAGTACTGTGTTGCTTGCAGTATTTGAAGTATGCAGTACTGTACCTAAACTGTTAGAGTTGTGAATTGATTGATTTATTTTTTGAAAACCAAATCCATTTACTTAATTATAAACAGTAAACATTCTTTTTCTAGAGCTACAGTATGTGCCCTGACCAATTCTGAGAAAAATGTGGAAGGTTTCAAGAAATGTCTTAGCAGTTGTGAAAAACTGTAACTGCCTTGAGTCACGACAGTCCTTAAACTGACAGTGAACAGTTACAGTCCATAAATATAGACACATGAGCCTCTTCTGTCTATTACAGCAATATGCCACCATGGCCGCCATGTTCCTGGGGCGAGGCTGCACCTCCCAGTGCATATATGTGTGTAGGGGCAGGGGGTCAACTTCCGGCGCCAAGAGCGATGGCGACCGTGGGTACTTGCGCTCCCTTGTGTTTGTTGTTTTTCTTTGTTTTCTTGGTTTTGTGCAGCTCATCCCGGGTTACTTTTACCAGAGAAGAAGTGTTAAATATCAGACAACTCACACCAAACTACCCTCCTTCAATTTTTGTGAATGAAGAATGCTGTATGGACATTCTGATCGGAAGCACAGCAGCAATATACGGGACCTGGAAAAAATGTCGGCAACGTGTGGCGCTTTGGTGCGGTTACGACAGAGGGGAACACGGACCTCACTCCCATCTATTCACCTGGCTGATCTCCGCTCTCTGGTCAACAAAATGGATGACATTCATCACACTTATCTCAACAGGTCACTGGAGCTGTGTGAAGTCCCCTCCTGCTTCAAACGTTCCACCATCATTCCAGTCCGCAAGAAATCCATCAGTGGACTGAACAACTACAGACCTGTCACCCTGACATCTGTAGTTATGAAGTCCTTTGAAAGACTGGTGTCAGCCCACCTGAAGGACATTGTTGACACCCTGCTGGAGCCCCTGCAGTTTGCCTACCGGGCAAACAGGTCAGTGGACAATGCAGTAAACATGGCACTGCATTACATCCTGCAACACCTCAACTCCCTAGGGACGTATGCACGGGCCCTCTTTGTGGACTTCAGCTCGGCATTTAACACCATCGAGGACCCCTACAGACGGGAGGATGAGCAGCTGGTCCTGTGGTGTAGCCGCAACAACCTGGAGCTGAACACGCTCAAAACAGTGGAGATGACAGTGGACTTCAGGAAAATCCCCCCCCTCCCCGTACTTGGCAGCACTGTATCAGCAGTAAAGTCCTACAAGTTCCTGGGCTCCACTATCTCCCAGGACCTGAAGTGGACGTCCAACATCAGGACCATCACCAAGAAGGCACAGCAGAGGATGTACTTCCTGCGCCAGCTCAGGAAGTTCGACCTGCCCCAGGAGCTGCTGATACAGTTCTACAGAGGAATCATCGAGTCTGTTCTCTGCTCATCCATGTACACTGCATGGGTCAAAAGGAGGGCGGAGAGGATCACTGCTGACCCCTCACACCCCGGACACAATCTGTTTGAACTCCTCCCCTCTGGACGGCGTTACAGGTCACTGTGCACCAAGACAACCAGGAACAGGAACAGTTTCTCCCCCCAGGCTGTTGCTCTGATGACCATATGATTGGACAGTAACCCTCAGTGCTTAACCTGACTTTAACTTCTTATATGCCAAAAATGCAGCCTGTTTGTATGTTTAGCTGCAACATCCTGGTTAAACATGAGACTTGGAGAAACCAACATCTGCTACCTAACCCAGATTCATGCTCAGAGAGAGAGGGCAGGCAAGTGGAGCAGTACAGGGCAAAAAGGTTTGGTTTTTGCAGTTAGCTAAAAAGAAAAAAAATCTGTTTCAAGTTTACTTTATTCAAGTCGAAGGTGGAAATGATGCAGTAAACAAGCTATTTTCAGTAAACAAACTGCAATTACCAAGCTACTTTCAAATAGGGTGGCACCTTCTGATTCTTCTGAGGGGCAGGGGGTCTGTCCACACTAAAATCATCTTGACTTGCTGAATTTACATCCAGTTGTCCAGCTGTTTGGTTTATTACAAACCCCCAGTTATGATACAGGATGTTTGGTAAAATAAAACATGCATTTTTTTCATATCAAAACAGCTCAACTTTTGCATATTGTAACAAAATATCTATATAATATAGAATTTACACTTCATAATTATTAAAAGTAATGATCCTGCCCCCCCCCCCCTTGCATTGTAAACATAATACATAATTACAACAAACATTAAAGTTAAAAGATTAAATCATATCTTGGCAGGCTACTGTTGCACTTAACCGTCCTGCATGTTCGTTTCTGAGGAAGAGTCAAAGTCAGAACAACCTTTAAGATATTTCTTACAATGTCAAGGAAAAGTAATTACAGAGAGCTCTGGGTTCCTCTCTATCTGAAGCCCTGATCCTAAACAGCAAAACCATTCAACTCATCTTCAGGACAAGGGGAATGCCTACCCTCCTGGAACCCAATCTTTTATACAATTTTTAAATGTGGAGTGTGGGTTGATCTGGTACCTCTTGTGCTGTTCCATTGGTCCTTTAGTCCATCCGTCCTCTCTGGTCCAGTCATCCAAGACAGCGCCCTAGAAAGGGGAAGAAATCCTATACTGCCTAAATTCCTACATACACACTCACTTCTTCCTTTGTTTCCAACTACCTGCTCCATCTTAGGCATTGCTTTCCGTTTCACTAATTAAAACTGTCCTGCCTTTGTGTGTGTGTGTGTGTGTGCATAATGTTCCTATCATTGAAGCTTTCTCCTCCGCAACCCTCCAGATCTAATCTCAGTCTCACTAACCTTGGAGTCCCAGTGAACTGCAACTCCCCTGGCTCCACTAGCCCAGTGGTGATAATAAATTCACTGTGGACTCTCTTAGCCAGAGTTGTAAATCTAATGAGATTCAGTAATTTAGTGGACAAGACCCCATAATGTTGAACAGTGCCTCAGTGACTAATACAGTAAATATTAATCAGTGGTTCAGTGAACACATAGGGTGATGTTTAACTAGGTAAACATAACTGTGACATATAAGTATGTAAACTTATGTATTCTAAAATAAAATCTTAACTATTCCTTTTCTAATATGATAGAATAGTCATATACAAACAACGTGAACACACAGGTTAAGTAAGCAACAATCATGGTGTCAATCTTCTACTAAATAAGTACTTAATTCAATCAAATGTTAGAAGTAATCCTAGAGTATAACTTTGTTAATAATTTTACCCAACACTACACACTTCTCTTTTAAATTACATTTCTAGTGAAATGTTCACATTTTCCTCTTTTATATTTTTTGTCACTTTATGTACAATATTTATATACAGAATGTTTTGGAAGGGTTGTGCAGAGTTGCAGTTTAACACAAATATTGTAATAAACCAGTCTTACAGTCGTGTGCATCTGCATCACGAAATGACTTAGAGGTGCATTTATAGCCCATAGAAACAATTTGCCAGTGACACAAACTGCACACATGGTCCAGAAACATAACAGCTCACGGGGCCACTAACTTCCTTTAAACATGCTGTCTGTCCAGTCCTGTCAGACTTCTAGTGACAGCTGCAGACAGCTGAGCAGTCACTGGGCTCAGCGTCCTCTCTCCTCAACGCTATTGCCCATGTTTTAATTTGACGTTTCTGGAACCTCTATACACGTTACATAATTCTGTGTGCTTTTATAGCTAACATTTCAGTACAGACATAGGTTACAAGGTGTCGTGTTAGCGTCATGAAACAGTTTAATGTAGACAGTTTACTTAACACAATAACTGATACAGTGATATGTCTGATTAATAAATATAATTTCCAGTAGATTTCTGGTGTATTACTTTTTAAAAAAATACTAATAATTTTTCTTCATCAGATCATTAGCTAGCTTAACTTAGTGTCAACAGTGTAATTATATTGGCTT